CTTTCTTCTCTCCATACTTGTTCATGTTAAATTCCCAGTCTAGTGGAAGCATTTGAGTCGTAAGATTTTATGGAAATTCTCTTTTCCTGCCTAACATGGTACTTGGGTACTTCACTCACTTACAAACTGGAATGGGAATGGCTTCAGAAAATTCAGCAGCATGCTTGATTTGTAGTCCTTAGAATGTGTAAGACTTACAGAAGAATGTTTAACTCAAGGCTAGAAAATTATTGGAGCTGCCACAGGATATGGGTAGGCTCCAACAGTCACGGGAAAACGGTTATAGAAAATTTGTAGAAACAAAGGGATCATGACTGGTATCCTCTTGAAAGAGAATATAACCAAGAAAACTTTCTGGAGAGAAGCAATCATTAAAAAAAAGAGAGAAAATAAGCTGTATTGAATCAAACAATATATAAAAAGGATAAGATATTATTACTGAGATTTATTTCAGCAATGCCAAGATAGTTCAACATTTGAAAATGAATCGATGCTATTTTGTATGAAAATCGTATCATGCTTTCAATGATGCACTAAAACTATGCACTATGATGATATTTAATATCTATTAATAATAAAAGTTCTCAGCAAACTAGGAAGTAACGGGAATTTGTTTAGTCTGATAAAGACATTTACTGAAAACTCATGCTAATGAAATACTTTAATGGTGACAGATTGATGCTTTTCCCCTAAGATCAAGTACAAGGCAAGAATGTCAACTCTCAACAATGTTTTTTAGTGTTAAATCAGAGGTCATAACCAGTACACATGATAGGAAGCCAATATTACAACTTAAAGAATAGTAAGAAATAAAATGGACTTGGGGCTGGGCGCAGTGGCTCACGCCTATAATCCCAGCACTTTGGGAGGTTGAGGTGATAGGATCACCTGAACCTGCGGGTTCGAGACCTGCCTGGGCAACTTGGTGAGACCACATCTCTACAATAAATCAAAAGATTAGCCAGGCGTGGTGGTGCGTGCCTGTAGGTCCAGCTAGTTAGAAGGCTGAGGAGGAAGGATGGCCTGAGTCCAGTCGGTCGAGGCTGCAGTGGCTGGGAGCATGCCATTGCCCTCTAACTTGGGTGACAAAGTGAGACTCCAACACACACACACATACACACACACACACACACACACACACAAAAGGATTCTATTGCAGATGACATAATTGTCTACACTGAAAAATTTAGTCATCTATAGAAAGAGCACTAAAATTGATAAGTGGTTTATAATGCTATAAAAAGTTGTTATGATTTCAAAAGTTGTAACTCTTGCTGGTTAAGTCGTTTGGCAAACAGCGTCTTTCTCCAAACGTTGGGTTTTTTTAGGAGTCAAATATCTAATCTTCGTAAATATTCATGAACTAGAAAGATCATGCCCCAAGTGATCTACTCTTCATTATAGACAGATCACATCTTAACTCTTTTCATTAAAGTCAAATCTTCAGGCTCATGTTTTAAACAAATATGAAGCTTACAAAGCAAACCCAAAGAAATTAAAACACACATATAGTAAAAAGCTTTTGTTTTTATTTTCCAGTATGCCTCTTTAAAAAAGGTACAGTATTATTAGTTGTACATTAATGAACTGAAAGAACAAAGTGACAAGTTTTTGTCACAGATATTAATTTACATCTTACAAACATCCACCAAGACAATTAAGAATGAAATAAATATATTTACATTTTATATTTCTGGTATTTTTGTTACATTTTTGACATGTATAAAATATATAACATTTATAATATTTTATTTTCAAAAGTAAATTCAAATGTGCAAATAAGTGAAATGATTTCAAAGTATTCTGTAATAAGAATAAACCATAACAATTTTAGAGGTATGAATAAAGTAAGGATAATGATGAATACAGCAGTATTAATAGTAGCAAAATGTTTGTTATTAATGTCTGAATATCTACACTTACCTTAAAAAGTTAAGCACAAGATCATGCTTGTGCTTTTAAAGCTTCTCCACACTGCTGATTTCTAGCAGCAATTCTAAATTATTGTTAAGATTATTACTTTTCCTCAATAATAAATCAAGCTTCTCTTAAATCCAGCATTCAATGCAGACAAAGTTTACAAGCTTTGTCATTGTAAATGAGGAAAATGTTACTCTATAAAATAATGCACCTAAAGAAAAATTTCTCTGCTTTCATGGTTACCATGGACTTGATATTTATTTTCAAGTATTTTTTTATGAATGGCAGCTTTATGAGCAAAAATTTTAGAGCTATATGTTGGTACATGCCTGAAATATGGGCAAGAAATAAATATCTGATTAGTCTTCCTCTAAAAAAAAATAAGATGGTAAGTGCTTGGGTACATATTACACTTACATTATCTATCAAATTATTTTCAAATACACTTGTTGCAATATGACAAATTAAAAATATTCCTGCTGTAATATATTTCAGCATAAATAAATTGTTGTTCTTTATCAGGCAAAAGACATTATTATAGTAGTTAGCAATTTTCAGATGATTTTGAACTCCATTCTCTTATCTAAATACCTATAATATTTCCTGTTAGGCTTGCACTATGTACACTGTAATGAACCCTTTAATGAATGCACACACACACACACACACACACACACACACACACACACACGCACCCCCAAACACACACTCTCACACATACCAAGGCACTGGAGGGATTAACATATAATTAAGCATTCTACTATTAAAATGTGCTCAACGTACAAACTAGAATTTGATGAATAAATCTCATGCGTCTAAACCTAAATTACATGAGAAATAGAAATTTGTAAGTATTTTTGTTCATTTCTAAACTTCTTATTCAAGTAGTCCAAGTTATAACAAAAGCCAATGACTAATAATCACACTAGACAGAAAACACTAAATACTAACTGCTAAACTGATGAAAATCAGAAGAGTGTTTCTTAGTTGGTGACTGTTCCACTAGTTATGTTAGACAGCATTTTAGGCCTGTTGGGTTTTTTTTATTAATAGTATCAAAAATAATCCCAATGATGGTATTGTCATAAATTTTAATCAAGCTACAATTTAAAATGTAATTTGAAGTATATTAAATGTATGAAATATATTATTTTAATATAATTAATGGTCAACATTTTATTCTATTTTATATATATATACACATATATTTGTGTATTTGTGTACATACCGCAAGGAGATAGAAATTCATTCATTTCTCATTGTGCCCTTTTTTCTTTCATTGTACATATAAGCATAGACTAAATTTTTATGATACCACAAAAAGAATACTTAATTCAATATTTTTTATTTTAAAATGGAATTGACGCAAAGTTCTATGTTAATTTAAAAAAATTATTCTAGTATAGGTATGTAAAGTTTTAAAACATTTTTTTGCTTATGGGTAACTAGTTCATGTCATATTACCTTCAGACCAGACTATTACACCATGAATTCATTGATGTCACCCCAATATGGGGTACTCTGAGATTCAGCTCTAATTGATAGCAGGGGTTCTATAATAAACTGCCTATCACCATCTAAAGCCCTAAGCTGGATTGTATCCCACTACCTGTTCTTCTTCAGTTCAGAAGTGGCCTACTACTGAAGTCTGCTTTTGATGGGCTTCTAATTTTACAGTGACAATTGTGTTTGATCAAAATAGTGAGTGATAATTCCAAAGAGCTACCCTAATACAGATGAGTATTTAGCAGCCAAAATGAAGTGTATTGAAACTGTTTATTTTTGAATTTGTCACAACTCTTCGGAAAAGATATCTATCTTAGATTCAGCTTAACATTTCCCCAGGTGCAGTTATGAGCCTTCACTGTTTTCTTCCCAAATCGATGTCTTTAAGAATCAATCTATGCAAAAGGAATTAATAATATTTAATAATCATACAAGTATCTTGAAGTGAATATTTTAATTTAATGCATGTATCCTTTATACAAATAATTTTGTTTCCTTCTTGAGTGACTTATTTTATAAAAATGGACCCCTTTATCAAATACTTGGTCATCATCACAAAGGAATATGTAATGTTTGGTTTAATTGGGAGCATGTGTGTCAAAAGAAGGTTTTTTTTGTTATTTGTTTGTCTGTTTTTAATGAGTAGTTGGTTGTTTAAAAGCATTTCTCAATAAAGCCATAGCTAAGGACAGAGAATGAGTTCCATATAATACAACTAGTTATATAGCTCCTGGAATCTGAGTCACGTGGATAACACCAGAGCTCTCAAATTTTCAACCTTTGCACATTTATATTCCCTAAGACAAGATATCTAAAATAACCTGCAGAGTTTAGCATTACTTAATCACTTTTCATGACAATGTGTAAGATACAGATTTTAAAGTTTATTTTCAAATATCACCTTTATTCCTCATAAATATTACTAAGATGGAATATGCTATTTAGCTAACATCTATGATAGCTTTGAGACTGCCTTCTAGGGACATTTTAGTTCATAATCAACCAATAAATTTAGGAAGACAAGGACTTGTGTCTCAAACCTTATTTGTTGACATTATTTTCTTTACAAAAGTTTTTGGGGTCACTGACAAGTAATGAAACTTCAATTTGATAATAAATTCCATTCAGAAAAATATAAATCTCCTTAAAATGAAAGAGGGAACAAGAGGTTTGTGAATGCTTCCATCATTCATAATTAACTTAACACACTTTTTATGTATTTGGTTGACATTGGCAGCTTGTAAAGCATTTCAGTAATAGTAACCTAAGGGTGAATAGTCAGTCATATTGTATTTTTTATAGGTCAAAGTAATTATTCTTTTGCTGTTCTTCAGAATATTTTACAGTAAGATAAACACAATTGGAGTGCCAATGTCCAATCATGGAATGAAAAAAAAAAGGAGAAATTTACATCAGTATATTAAAATACCTCTTTCTTTGATGATCTATTTTGCATGCTCCTTGCTGCCATATTGGCTTTGCCTTTTGTGTCTCTCTTTGTACAATGATAGGGCAATAGTTCACGATCCTGCCCAACACGTATTTGTCATACAAAATAATCTAAAATACAGAAATAAACATTTAATAGATATTTTTATTTATAGATAGCTTACAATTTTTATATTATGTACATACTTCTTCAATCATTCTTTTGTCTCCACTTTTGGCGAAAGCAGTTTACATACCAGGACAAAGCAACAGAGTAAGAACAACCTGCTCTGTTCATTTAGGATGAGTCACTGATGCCTTCTAGAAGTGTTTTTGAGATTCCACGTGACCTTTTTTCTTTTTCCTGCTGAAATTTCAATTGAACTCCACTATTGACGTGGTGATAATATGGTTTCTGCCGGGTCTAAAAAGATGAATATATCTATTTTGTGTATACAGTCATGGTGCATGTCTTTGCAGAGCTCAGTATGTCAAGTCGTGTACTTTGCTTTACTTGTGGTGGCAGAGCTGGAGGCAGCAGAAGCAGTAGCCTGATTACCTAAAAACAGAGGGTCTAAACAAGCTACTTTGGCAGCAAAGAAAGAGTGAATGCAATGAAGAACAGCAAATAAATTTGAAAATTCCAGCTCCTGAAAGGCAAAGAGATAAAATCAAATCAGATAAAATATAGATTAATTCCTTTAAAAAATTGATACTAATTGGATATTTGTTCAAGTGCAATAAACATATAGAATCTATGATACTTAGAGTAGACGTTTTTCGTCAACATGTAAATGTCATAGGTATTGCAGATTTACTTTAAAAGATGGTAGACAAGAAGCAGGAGAACTCACCATTTTTATCACCTATGAATGTTGTTTTAGTATTGATTAATTTATTTTGGCAAATTGGAATTTTACTCCTGATAACATATAAGCTAAGAGAAACTTGGGGATTATCTTAGAAGTATTTTTGTCTCTTTATGCCCACATCAGATGACAAACATATTAAAATAATTTTAAAATATTTTTATCTGTTCTTTAAAATGAGTTACTGCTTGACAGAGGAAACGGAACATGAGATTCTGAAAGCAAAGGGATATGAATGCTTATGACAGTAAAAGCCAAATGGTTCATTTTCAAAGAATAGTTTAGGCAATAAAGTTAATTGTTGTAGCTGGCTGTTTAATGGTGTATATGACATATTTACTAAAAGAAAATAAAAACTAACTAGAGCTCATTAATTCACTTTGATTTTTTAGAAATATGTTTCCCATTTGAATACTGAAGGAAATGTGTATAATTTGTGGTGACCAACATATACAAAATTTCGTAATAAAAATAGAGAGAACGTTTTTCCAACTGTAAATAATGCAAGACTAGTTATAGAATCCTGAAGTGATGTTTAGGAGAGTCTGAAAGATGATCTTGCTAACAATTTTATGGAAGACCATCAACAGTCTCATAACCATGTTTTAATTCTGAGAGGATTGAGAGAAGGTTAGTGTATTTATGTGAAGTAAATATGATGAACTTATCACAAGGATAACCAGAGGGTAATAAACCACATGAAATTGCTGACCAACTCACTGCTATTTTATTAAATATTTGTAATAAAAGTTACAGAATTACAATTAATATGCACACTACTGATATTGTTTGCAATTTATGATACCTGGCAGTGGAAAATAATGCAAAGTATCAAATCAATTAGGATACATTGTAATCTTTGTCATGAACCAGAGAGCTGTTTAATGAACAAATTCACCCTAAAAGTATTTTCTCAGACCATGCAACAGGGAGCACAACAGAGCATAACATATTTCATGGGCCAGGACAACACAGAAGAGATAGTCGTGCAGTCTCAATAGTTTCTTTCAAGCTTTCAATATTTCATAATCAGTTTCCTACAGCAAACAGGGAATTATTCTAGTGAATAGCAAAGGCTATTTGTTGAACTATCCTAATTCTCAGAAAAGCATCCACCAAAAAAAAAGTGTTAGTGACTCTATTATAATTGTCTTAGTAGCTTTATTTTTTAATAATCCACTCCAGTGGCACTAGTGACATGTGATTTGTAAACTAGAAGGTTTTCCCTCGCCTTAACTCACCCTGACCATACTCCATCCATCCCATGTTTCTTTGTGAAGGCAGCTTATTTCTCGTATGAAATTTGAACACTTGTTGTATCAACCTATATTAAGTCTACCTGATATGCACAGGATTGGAAACTTTGGGAAAATTTGAGATGTTCCTCTGTGTTATTAAGGAAACAAAATGAAAACAACAAAAAGGAAGCAATTTTCTCTTGGTGAGGAAGAGAATACAGTTGAATGTTACAAATGGACAAAAAAAATCCAACCAACCCTCAAGTATCTAAATATCTAGGCATTGTTAGAACGTTAAGATTTTCGATGATTCCTACCTTGTCAACTATTTACCAACAACTTGATACAGACTGACATTTTAACATGTTTACACCTTTTTTGTTGGAGGGGAGGGCGGCAGACCAGAAGTAATAGCAAGAGATTAGGAGAGAAACCAGAACAGAGATGGATTCAAGTTCGGCTGTTTATTTCAGTGTCCACTCATCTTTTCTCTGCCTACGTGATCAGCCTTGGCAGTGAAGTTCACTCTTGAGTCTTCAATGATCCTTTCCACGCAAACTCATACTGACTTTTACTTATTTCTCATGTGAGTCCTGGACCTACATTCTCAGCCATCTCTCGAATATCCACTGAAGACGATGAACATCCATCCATCTATTGATTGCTTCTATCAAGTTATATAGTATCCCCTGATAATAATGCTCTTTTGATCCTTCTTATCACATGAAACTCACTAACTATAAAATATCTTCAAAATGCAAAAATGTATGCCTTCAATAAATATTTACAGATGGCCTCCTGTGCATCTATTTTTTTGTGTGTGTGAAAAGATAGCCATGCACAAAACAGACAGAGAACAAAAAAACAGTACTGATGGGACTTACATTCCAGTGACAGGAGGCAAAATGGAAGGGCATAAATAAATTAAAAATGTCAGAATATGACAAGTAAAGTAAAAAAAAAATAAAGCAGAGGAGAGAGCAAAGAATATGCAAGGGGTTATGGGACAGGAAAATCCATACTGCCGTGTGGACAGAACTTGAAAGAGAGAAAGGAATAATAATTTCCATGTTTGTGGGAAAATATTCTAGACAGAAAGAGTACAATTTTAAAGGCCCTCAGGCAGACTTTCTAGGAATGCAGTGAATTGAGGAGCAGTTGGTAGAAAATGAGGTCAAAGAATAACACAGGCCTGGATTTGCCATGCCATATGCACCCTCTATGAATTTTACTCTGAGTGACATGGGAAGTCATTGGAAGTTTGTGAACAGAGGAATCACAAGACATTGTATATATTTCAAAATGATTCTGGCTACGTTGTGCAGAATTAGCTCTTTGAGAACTGAATTGAAAGAAAAATTGAAAAATCACATAGCTTTTCAGTAAGTAAATGTATTTGATTTGAAAGTAAATTTAAACCACTAGAAAAAGTAAGTTGCCGTTTCCACATATAGAAAAATCGTGGGAAGAACAGATTGGCATCAAAGATCAAGATTATGGCTTGGATACAGTACACTTGAAAGGATATTAGATATACAACAGGTAAGTAGAAATCTGTATATATTAGTGTAGACTTAAGGGAAAAATCAGAGTTTAAAATAAAAGTTTAGGCCAGGCTCAGTGGCTCAGCCTGTAATCCCAGCACTTTGTGTGGCCGTGGCAAGTGGATTGCCTGAGCCTCCGGGTTCAAGACCAGCCCGGGCAACCTGGTGAGACCTTGTCTCTACAATAAATCAAAAATTAGCCAGGCATGGTAGGGTGCGCCTATAGTTCTGGCTACTTGGAAGGTTGAAGCAGAAGGATCACCAGAGCCCAGCAGGTTGAGGCAGCAGTGGCCGGGAGTGTGCCACTGCATTCCAGGCTGGGCGACAGAGTGAGACTCCAACTCAAAAAAATAAAAATAAAAGTTTAGCAATTATCATCGTACATGATGCTGTGGTCTGGGTGAGAAGATCAAGTTGTGCAGCATATGCAGAGAAAACTCATTTTGGAGATCCTACAGTTTAAGAATGTGAGAAAGATGAAGAACCAGCAAAGAAGAAAGAACAGCAGTCGCCAAGAAAGTGAGAGAAAGCCAGAGTTTTGTTCAGTAACAACTGGGAATTAGCCAATGGATTTAACGACACGGAGGTCATTTTTACCCTTTATAAGAGACTTTTTGTGAAGAAGTGGAAGCAAAAGGTTCATAGGAATGGGTTAATGAGAAATTGAGTGGAAATGAATTAGAGTTACTGTAGACAGCTTTCTTTTAGAGAAATCCTCTTCCTTTTCTTACGTGGAGCAGAGAAGAGGATCAGTAGGCAAAAATCAAAGATTTTTTAAAAAAGATTTAAGCAATTAGTACATATTTGTAGACTTGCTGGCATGAGATATTAAAAGGCTCAAATCTACAGTCAATCCTAGAAACCATACGAGGTCTGACAATGAAGTTCGCAAGCTCATCCTAGAAAGAGTGCTACATACCTCATTGCTGAATACCACTACAATCATTTTTAAAGTACTTCCCTTGGGAAGCTATGCACTGATGCCAGCAAAATCGTGGGAAGAACAGATCCACCCATCGAAGCCATGTTAGAACTCTTTTCCTGGAATGGCCATTGGAACAGTCCTCATGAGAATGTCGGAGTTTGAATTAGAGGAACCAACAAACATTAAGGTTCTTGTTAAACTTGGCAAGAGTGAAAGAGAAATCAGTGACATGTTAGTACACATTTATGAGGATAATGCCATGAAGAAAATGGCAGTGTTCAAATAGAGTAAACATTTTTCTGAGGGGAGAGAAAGCATCACTGAAGAAGAGAGGTCTGGATGGCCAGTAACAAGCAGCACTGATGAAAACATTCATTCATCAAATTGTGCATTTAAATCGTCAGCCGACTGTGAGAAGCATAGCAGATTAAATAAACATTGATAGAGAAACAAGAAGATCTTAACTGAAAATCTTGGCATGAGAAAGGTGTGTGCAAAAATGGTCCCGAAGGAGCTCTTGTATCAAGACCATGCACCAGCTCACACAGCACTGTCTGTGAGGGAGTTTTTAAGCCAGTCAGCAAATAACTGTATTGGAATACCCCCCCTACTCACCTGATCTGGCCTCCAATGACTTTTTTCTTTACATGAAGATAAAGGAAATATTGAAAGGAAGACATTTTGATGACACTCAGGACATCGAGGGCAATACAACGACAGCTCCATTGGCCATTCCAGGAAAAGAGCGCCAAAATTGTGATGGGTGAACTAGGCATTGACTTCAGTGCATAGCTTCCCACAGGGAGTACTTCAAACCTGACTGTAATGATATTCAGCAATGAGGTACGTAGAACTTTTTCTAGGCTGAGTTTGTGAGCTTAATTATCAGACCTCTTATTCTGGAGTAGAAGAAAAGGGTAGGATCTAGTGCACAACTAGTGAGACCAGATGTGGACAGAAACCTGGACAACTGATTCAGAGTGATAAAAAGATGAGGCGTAATATATGTGCACAACTCAAGGAAAGCAGGTCGATTTGATGGTGTATAGCTGTGTTTAATTGTTTCCCAGGTGA